TGTTGGCTTATTAGGTCATTTTTCAAGTTTGTATCGAGTTATAACCAAGTTCATGTCATAAAATTCGTATCGAGTTCAAGTTGTGTCATCGTGTTGAGTCGAAAATTAAGATGAAAAAAATATTTTTAATTTTTTTTTAATTTTTAATTATATATATATATATATATATATATATATATTAAATAATATATACATAAAATATAGACAAATAAGGTGTATCTCAACACAAATAATTAACTTTTCATCAACTTTTTGTCTAATTTTGGAGGGATTAATTTTAGTGAGTTGAAAGGAAAGTTAATACATCCACTTTTCTATCATTTTTATTTTTCTTCCTTACCAAACATGATATTTTATTGATCCATCCAACTTTTCATCCTTCCATTCTTCCATCATATCAAACGGAGTATAAGAGAAAGGGCGGCCAATCAATTTGAGCCTCAGGCGAAGATATTTGGTGAAAAATAATATAAATACAATAAAATAAATGTTAAGATATTAATAAACATTCATTTAAAAATTATTTTTCTTGTATTTGAGACGTAAAACTATTAGTTAAAGNTTTGGAGGAGAACCAAAGGGTGGTGGTGGCGAGGAAGGTGATGGAGATGGTACTGGTGATGGGGGTTGGGGCTTCGGGGGAGCCTCATGGAAAGGAGGAGTTGGTTGTGGTGTAAATACCAAAGGAGGCGACTGATTAGGTGTGCCATATGGTGGCGATTCCGGGGATAAGGTTGGTGTTGGTGGAGGTGGACTGTTCACAANAAAACGAAAAACATAATCAAAAAACAAAAAATATCTTTTTCTCGTTTTTGAAAATCGTCCTTCGTTTATAAAACGATGACAGAAAAAAAAAATAAAAAAGGTTATTAAACGAGTTTTTTTTTCTTATTTTCTCTAAATATCAAAATAAAAATAAAAAACGAAAAAAATAAACGTTACCAAACAGGACCNAACACCTAATCTTTCTCACCTTGGTGGCTACCAGACTGAAAATCACTGGATTATGTCTGAATTCTCTGAAGGTGAATTGTATTCACTCGCACAATAAGAATCGTATAGTTGAGATTTAATTTAATCACCCAAAAACACACGGATGACATTTTCGCACTGAGGTGATGCAGAGTGATACACTTAAATCCTGACTTCATAATTTCACACTCCGAAATTAGGTTTGGATTGAGAGGATCCAAATTTCTGAGGNGTAAAGCACCCAAACTCAATATATTTTTCGGTCATTTTGTGTGTGTTTTTTGTATATTTAAAAAACAATTAAACCAAAAACGGATCTTGATTATAAAAAAAGGTCTTGAATTTAAGTTAAGAAAAAATTATAAATTATGAATAATTAGTCATCCAATTGACTTTGATTGTAATAAAGCAAAAAAATTGCGCGAGGAGAAAACTGATTTTTTTAGTATTTACATGAACACAAGTAAGACTGAAAAAAAAAAAGTGATACAAGAATAATCATTCAATTGTATCGTGTTAGAATTTGCTTTATATGTGTTATTCCTACTTTACAATCATGGTTTAAGGAGTTTATACTGGGTTTTGTTGAAGTCTTGTGGACCTGTTGATTCGAGGGATCAGTTGATTCGAGGGGCCGAATAATTTCATCTATTTATCGTCCAAATCTATTAAGGTTAAACTCAAACTCATTAATATTATGTCAATTTTTTTATTGGTTCATAAATTGTACCTAAAATTGTGTGGGCCCTAAAATTATGTTAATAGAATCTTGAAAAAAAANATCCACTTTTCTATCATTTTTATTTTTCTTCCTTACCAAACATGATATTTTATTGATTCATCCAACTTTTCATCCTTCCATTCTTCCATCATATCAAACGGAGCATAAGAGAAAGAGCGGCCAATCAATTTGAGCTTCAGGCGAAGATATTTGGTGAAAAATAATATAAATACAATAAAATAAATGTTAAGATATTAATAAACATTCATTTAAAAATTATTTTTCTTGTGTTTGAGATGTAAAACTATTAGTTAAACGGCTCGTTTGATAACGTTTACGAATTTTGATTTTCTAAAAAACGAAAAACATAATCAAAAAACAAAAAATATCTTTTTCTCGTTTTTGAAAATCGCCCTTCGTTTATAAAACGATGACAGAAAAAAAAAAAAAAAAGGTTATTAAACGAGTTTTTTTTCTTATTTTCTCTAAATATCAAAATAAAAATGAAAAACGAAAAAAATAAACGTTATCAAACGGGACTTTTGTTATCTAAGTTTTAGTTATAAAAAATCTGTCAATTGAAGATGAAATTGAATACCAAAATAATTAAATCTGTCAAATCAGTCATTAGTTGAAGATATACAGAAAGAGAATTGAAATTTATTAATACAATAAAAATTATTTTTCAAAAAATGAATGTCAAATAGTAAAGCACCCAAACTCAATATATTTTTCGGTCATTTTGTGTGTGTTTTTTGTATATTTAAAAAACAATTAAACCAAAAACGGATCTTGATTATAAAAAAAGGTCTTTGAATTTAAGTTAAGAAAAAATTATAAATTATGAATAATTAGTCATCCAATTGACTTTGATTGTAATAAAGCAAAAAATTGCGCGAGGAGAAAACTGATTTTTTTAGTATTTACATGAACACAAATAAGACCGAAAAAAAAAAGTGATACAAGAATAATCATTCAATTGTATCGTGTTAGAATTTGTTTTATATGTGTTATTCCTACTTACAATCATGGTTTAAGGAGTTTATACTGTGTTTTGTTGAAGTCTTGTGGACCTGTTGATCCCGTTGGATTAGTTGATTCGAGGGGCCGAATAATTTCATCTATTTATCGTCCAAATCTATTAAGGTTAAACTCAAACTTATTAATATTATGTCAATTTTTTTATTGGTTCATAAATTGTACCTAAATTGTGTGGGCCCTAAAATTATGTTAATAGAATCTTGAAAAAAATTAAGAATTTTCACATTTTACACCCCAAAAGATTTCAAGATTCTCACTTTAATCTCTAAAGATTAAATTTCTCACATTTTATCCATAATGTATCAAATTTGTTGCAATATGGTCCTAGTAGCTTTTGTTATTTTTTTTGGTCAAAAGTCAATCCATTGACAATGAAAAAACTAACGAAAAACTAACAGAAGAATCACATTGTAATACTTTTGATAAATTAAATGTACAATATAAAAAATTTAAATTTTGAAGGTGAAAAGTAAAAATCTTAAAATCATTCGAGATAAAAAATGAAATTCGTTCAAAAAAATAATTTGGGGCCTTAAATATTACTATTTATTTGGAGCCATAGGTGGTGGCCTTAATGGCCTATGCCTAGAGCCGGCCTTGCATAAGAGTCTTATGCACTTGGTCATCTTTTTTAATACCTAAATTTAGAAAATATATAATGATTATCCATATGAATCATGAACCATTTTTGACAAAAACGAATAGCTGACCAGACCAGTAAATGGATTATTAAAGAATGAAATTAATGGGTGAATATGAAATGGAATTAATGGGCGAATATGAAATAGAATACAGCCTGGATGTGAGTAATTCCATGAACTGGATGGCATAATGCTAACTTTTAATTTAGTACAATTCTCCATTTTCCTTGGCTAATTTGCCAACTTATAATGCTTATAGTTCCTAATTGTTCTTGTTGAATTCTCAATAAAAACAAAAGACAGTCCACTGTACGAGAGTGTATCCTCATCCTGCATGTGGAAAGACCGGGCCCAAAGTGTACGAGAGGTTACACGTGGGTTTAAAAATACTATTTATTTGGGTTGGAAGTATTTTTAGTGATAATATCGGGTCTAAAGTGTGTATCCAAATAAAAGAGTAAATGGGATANTGTACGAGAGGTTACACGTGGGTTTAAAAATACTATTTATTTGGGTTGGAAGTATTTTTAGTGATAATATCGGGTCTAAAGTGTGTATCCAAATAAAAGAAGTGACTCGAGACATTATTTTGTCCAAGATTCTCTTGTAATACCTAAGTCAAACACACCCTAAGTAATCGGAAAATTTTCAGTATTATTATTTATTACAACTCAAATTGTTGACTGCCAAATTAAAATGAGCCGCGCACTTGGCTCGATAATTTGTAAGTACATGCTATCAAGTCTACAAATCTGAATGAGCAAAATGAGATGTGTACCAAAATTTGTCTGATAATCCATATTGATTTAAAGAATTTTTTTTTTTTTAACGGACATGGATATTCAAACTAATTTACGTGCACCTTGATTATTCATTTTTTTTGGTCCGGTTAAAGACAAATCATTTACGTCGGGATTTGGGTATTCATGAGAGAGAAAATTTTCATGATTNTTTTTTTTTAACGGACATGGATATTCAAACTAATTTACGTGCACCTTGATTATTCATCTTTTTTGGTCCGGTTAAAGACAAATCATTTACGTCGGGATTTGGGTATTCATGAGAGAGAAAATTTTCATGATATGACATCAAAGAGTTGTAAATACTTGAACTCATAAATTTTGAGTTTAAATCCATATTGATTTGTGGATGACCTTAAGTTATCTAAAATTGGAAAGCCAAGTATGCACTGAGAATGCAAAAACCATTAGTTTCATTCATTAATAAAATAATGACTGTCACAAAAAGAAGCATACAATTGACATTTATTTCTAAAATTAAGCTCTTTGTTACAGGTAAACCATGATGAAGACAATCTCTAGTAGATTATGATCAAACCATGTTACAGGCAAACTTAAAAACACTAGTTGTATTGTCTTGGAGGTGGGAATCCATACGTTGGAGGCTGGTCTTTCGGCGGGGAGAGTTCATTTGTTGGAGGGCAGGATCCCGGTGGGCCGGGGGGTGGTGGTGTCTGAACATGTGGCGAAGTTGTGGGAGTGGGTGGAGGAACTGGTGGTGAAGGTGGCGGCGGCTTATGCTTTTTTGGACTATGGGGGGTGTGAGGCGGCCTGTGCCTTTTGTGTCGTTTAGGAGGAGGTGGAGACGAGCCAGGAGGGCCATTAATGGGTGGAGATGGTTTTGGCTCTGGTGGAGGCAGTGGTATCTTTGGAGGAGATAAAGGAGGTGGGTATCCAGATGGTGGTGGAGCGCTTTGAGGTGGAGGTATTTGATTAGCTGGTGGTGATGGTGTAGGAGAAGGTTGATAAATTGGCGGTGGAGGCAATTCACAATGTGGCTTTGGAGGAGGTTTTGGAAGCGGAGATGGATGAGGTGGTTGGGTTGGATTTGGAGAAGGAACCTTCGGAGGGGCCCGAGAGATTGGAGGAGTTGAGGGAGTAATTGGTGGCGAGGATGGTGATGGAGATGGTAATGGGTTTGGAGGAGAACCAAAGGATGGCGGTGGAGATGGTAATGAGTTTGGAGGAGAACCAAAGAATGGTGGTGGCGAGGATGGCGATGGAGATGGTAATGGATTTGGAGGAGAATCACAGGATGACGGTGGTGAGAATGGTGATGGAGGGCTTGGAGGAAAACCAAAGGATGGCGGCGGCGAGGATGGCGATGGAGATGGTAATGGGTTTGAAGGAGAACCAAAGGATGGCGGTGGCGAGGATGGTAATGGAGGGTTTGGAGGAGAACCAAAGGATGGCGGTGGTGAGGATGGTGATGGAGGGCTTGGAGGAGAACCAAAGGATGGCGGTGACGAGGATGGTGATGGTGATGGTGATGGAGATGGTAATGGGTTTGAAGGAGAACCAAAGAATGGTGGTGGCGAAGATGGTGATGGAGATGGTAATGAGTTTGGAGGAGAACCAAAGGTTGACGGTGGTGAGGATGGCGATGGAGGGCTTGGAGGAGAACCAAACGATGGTGGTGGCGAAGATGGCGATGGAGATGGTAATGAGTTTGGAGGAGAACCAAAGGATGACGGTGGTGAGGATGGCGATGGAGGGCTTGGAGGAGAACCAAACGATGGCGGTGGCGAGGAGGGAGATGGAGGGCTTGGAGGAGAACCACAGGATAGCGGTGGCGAGGTTGGCGATGGAGACGGTAATGGGTTTGGAGGAGAACCAAATGATGGTGGTGGCGAGGATGGTGATGGAGGGTTTGGAGGAGAACCAAAGGGTGGTGGTGGCGAGGAAGGTGATGGAGATGGTACTGGTGATGGGGGTTGGGGCTTCGGGGGAGCCTCATGGAAAGGAGGAGTTGGTTGTGGTGTAAATACCAAAGGAGGTGACTGATTAGGTGTGCCATATGGTGGCGATTCCGGGGATAAGGTTGGTGTTGGTGGAGGTGGACTGTTCACATAAACCGGTATAGGTGGACTATTCACAGGTATAGGTGGAAAATTAAAGCCAAAACAAAGTTTGGAGTCGGATGCAGCACAAGGTTTGTTGCTACCACCATTGTTGCTCTCACCAGCAGCAACAAACTCACCAAGTAACAAACTAGACCATAACAAAACCAATGGAAGAAAAAATAGCCATGCCTTGGCTTGCCTCACTGCAACACTCATCGTAAGTACTAGAGCTCTGGCATGCAAGAGCAATGGGCATGCCAAGGATGTTTTGAACTGAGATGAGTCCAAAGGTTTGAGCCATATTTATAAGTCCTAGTACTTGAATCTTTAATGCAATCAGTTGCAACTTGTCAACTTTGTGGTAGAATACATCTTTTTTGCATTAATTATTGTTTTAGTGCTTACTAGGTGGTTTTCTTATGATTTTTCTTTTTCTAATTGGTTATAGGTGAGAACATCGTTATGACATAATTTCTTGGTATTTAAAGAACACCTAATCTTTCTCACCTTGGTGGCTACCAGACTGAAAATCACTGGATTATGTCCGAATTCTCTGAAGGTGAATTGTATTCACTCGCACAATAAGAATCGTATAGTTGAGATTTGATTTAATCACCCAAAAACACACGGATGACATTTTCGCACTGAGGTGATGCAGAGTGATATACTTAAATCCTGACTTCATAATTTCACACTTCGAAATTAGGTTTGGATTGAGAGGATCCAAATTTCTGAGCGGTTTACATATGGTAAGAAACTATCAGATTTGACTTTTCGGTTGACCCTATACTAAGTTCAAGAAAACAAAGTTGACCACTCATTTAATTATTTACTCATAATACGTGTTTTCACCTTTTACTTTTCACTTGGCACTTTTCACAATGGGCCGTTAAGATGGACATTAATAAAAGAGGGTTTCATTTAAGTTAAGCAAGTGTAATAAATTACAAAAATATAAATTATTTATCTTATATCTATTTTTATTTGAAAAGTCAAACTTAGAGCGTTTGGGAGTATTTATTCGTCTTATTCCTATTTTTATTTAAATAGTCAGACTTAGAGCGTTAGGGAGTCCTTATTCACCCCGACCGACACGCCAAAATTTTAAGTCTAGAAATCGAACTCTTAAAAAAAAAGAAAGAAAGCAGAGCACCTTTTTAATTTCACACTATGGAGAGACCTCTACTGGAATCTAAATCATTATTGCAAGATAATGTTAGAGAGAACCCAACAACTTGACCTTGACACATCTCTATTCATACACCATTAAATCATAACAAACTTTTTATTACATATAGATAAGATATATTCAATACACAAGATTTTTATATTGCGGAGTTTGGTGAGGGTTAAATGTATGCAACCTTACCCCTGTAAACAGAGAGATTGATTTCACCACTCGAACTCGAACTCGAACTCGTAACCTATAGATCACAATAAAATAACTTTATCGTTGTGCCAAGGTCTACTCTCTTTATTACATGTAAATATAAACTCATAAATATTTTCGTCCTTAAGATTAATTTTTATTGTACAATAACCGACAAAGATATTGGTTCAATTTACTCAATCTTTTAACTATTTTGATTAAATATTAAAAATATGGCTAAACCTTTTTATTTTAGGGTGCTAAATCACTGAAATTTTCCAAAATTTCCCAAATAGAAAATAGTGACAATTTTTTTACCATGTCTTGGTGATTTTATTTTTGCATTGTCATGGGAAGAAAGTTAAAGTAAAACAGATAATCTTATTGCAATCTAGAAAAGTGGACATATAATACTTAATTATTGACTGAATCTGATACTAAAATGGTCCTTGTGGCTAAAATATGATAGAATTCTATTGATACTCCTACTAGATCAAACGATCTATATTTTTTGAGAACAAGTTACATTAACGATTTGTGTTTTAATGTACTTATTTAACGATTTATGTTTTAGTGTACTTGTCTGATAATCTGTGTTTTAGTATACCTGTCTAACGATCTGTATTTTACTGTACTTGTCTAACGATTATTATGTATATGTTATTTTTTAACTCGAAGGTATATATATATTGTAATTACATACCTGTTTTTGTTAGTGTACCTATTGTGTTTATGAATAAAAATATACATTATGATGACGTAACTTTTTAGAAAAAGTATTTAAATTAGGTGATGGTATTGTCATTATTTTTTGTAATTGTAAAAATCATTCTTTTTTTTTTTTTGATATTGAAAAAAAAAAGGTGGGGGCAAGGAAGAGCGCCTAGCGACCCACCCCGATAGACCCTCACCGGTGGGATCATAACGTTCTTGACTGTGCTTGGAACACCTCTCGAGACCAAACCTAACTAGGCTAGTATAGTGGCTAACCACCAAAATGAGAACACCAAGACTCGAACTCTCAACCTTAAGATGAGGAGTACGGCCGATACCATAATAGACCACCATACTTAGTGGTTAATTGTAAAGAGCGTTAGTTACTAGGGGTAACTTATGCCTGAAGGCACGGTGAAACATAAATCAACTAATTAATTTTGAAAAGTGAGGAGTGAAGATCCCTGAGAGCAGTGGCAAAGCCAAAAATATAATTTAAGGTAGACACAATTAAAGTATAATAGATAAAAATAGTGTGATATATTTATATTTTTTATATTAAGTTTGATACTTAAAAATTCATTAAACATAAAAAAGTCTACTTGAAAAAAATTAATAAGATTACATATATACATTAAGGATTAATAATATAATTTATTTGATACAAATAAAAAAAATATTCTATAATTTTTAATCTTTTTATAGGTTTTATATTTTACTCATTTTTGGCTATATATTCTATAATTTTTGAACCACATGAGACTTCAACAAATCATACAAATACTCTAAGGAATGAATTATAGTTTGCTAATTTTCATAGATTTGGTATAAATTTTTTGTTTTTGTTTTTTTGTTATAGTACCCAATTTGTTTGATCTAATTAATTTTGTTTTTCATAAATCATTACAGTGGACTCAACTAATGTAAACAAATATATAAAACATATATAATTAAAAAAAAATAAAATTTCAAGGTGGCCCCAGGCTCCTCCTCCCTCCGCCACTGCTTGAGAAAAAAAGTGAAGAGTGAAAAGAGAAAAATAAAATTTAATATGAATGGTATTGAGAGAGATGTTGGTGGCAATTAGATGAGTTTATTTGAAACTGTCGGATGAGCTTGTTGAACTCATCTTGTTTTATATTATAGTATCCACAAAATATAATAGAATTGATTTAAAAAAATATTAATTTATATACATGTAATCAAAATTGAATATTAATTTATATATATATATATAATCAAAATCGAGTCAAATTTAATACAAACTAAAAATCTAATTTATCAAAAAGCATATCGTCAAAATATTTTTTATCAAAAAAAGATCTACAAATATTATTTATAAAATATTATTTTTTTAATTAGTACAAATTATTAGAAAATTATTAATTTATAAGAATATATTAGCGTTGAGTTTTCTTAAGAGATAAAAAAAAATAGTCTTGAACTTTTGATTCAAAACATATGTAAGACATGTTAGTTTGAGATAGTTAATTAAATAAATAAAATTAAAATTAATTATATTTAATATAAATGTGTTAAGGAGCGCCCTTATTTTTTTTAATATGTTAAATTGATGAGTTTTTTTTAATCAAAATATTATCATTGTCTCTTATACAAATTTAAAATTTTATACTACACAGTTGATATTAATGAAAAATTTGAACCATTTAATTATTATGTTAGATAAAATCTTGTAATCCAAGTCAACCATAATCTTTAATTGGTTGAGAGGAAAAATATTAAGGAAAAAATGTTAATTTCTTGACCGTTAGATGAATAAATTTGAGACTGTAAGATGTGTTTTAAGATTAGTCGTTATCGTTGAACGGTTGAGAGGAAAAATATTAAGGAAAAAATGGTAATTTCTTGATTGTTTGATAAATGAATTTGAGACCGTATGATGGACTTGTAGAAGTCGCCCTGTTTTATATTATAGACTATGAATAACTCGTGCCTGAAGGCACGGTACAACATAAACCAATTAGTTAATTCCCTAAAATTTTTTATTTAATTTAAAAAATATTATTTGGAGACTATTTCGGCAAAATTTACTCTAAAAATAAGAATCCAGAAAAATCTCAACTTATCTATAAAAATCAGAGTTTCTTGAATGCACAATACAATCAAATGAAAGCTAAAAATTCAACTTGATTTCCTTTGAAAATAGAAGACCATGAAATACTAACCTATATACAGAACTAAAAAACAAACGAAACAATTCCCTAACATCAACGATTCATACCCAACTACCAAAACAATCAATAATTTCACATCTAGCTAAACATATTCTCATAATCGTGAAATTAGTTCACCATACTAAAATCAAGAGTAAACAAAAGACCACGCAAATTCGTGGTTTTTTGCCCTTGCATAAAGATACGAAGTAACAAAAACTTAAATTAGAACTTTTAGAATATTATTGCGCCTAAAGACACTTTGCAACCTAAAATAAATGATTAATTTGAAATAATTTTTTCAACATTCGCTTTAATTAAATAGATTGAAATCAATCAAGCACCCACTTATTTTTAAAAAAATTTGCAAAACTTCGTATAAAAATAGGAGCTCAAGAAGATTTCAACCTGTTTACAAAACTCATAATCGTACAGAACAATCATAATAATGCCCTGTACCACTATAATTCACATCAAAACAATGTATAATTAGTTCATCGTACTAAACACGGAACAAACAAAACACACACAAATTCACATAGTTGTGCCTAAACATAAATAAGATTAAAAAATAACTAAAATATGTAAAATGAGTCATTTTTTAATCTAGTTTATCAAAATGAATTATTTATCTGCACATCATTTTTGAAACAGTTTTTCCATCACAACTTTGAATGTAATTGTATTAATCCAAATCCGCAGCTTCTAACTGGGAGAATGTACAACAATCTAGCATTTACAAAAACAGTTAAATTTAGTACACAACAGAAATTTTAAAATTATAAACTTGAAAATCTAAAATAAACTATAAAAAATAAATTTAGTTACCTTATTCAAATAACCCCATCGAAAAATATGGGTTGCATTTAGTCTTTTTAACTCATGCACTGCTTCATCCCAATTCTATAGATGAAATAACATAAATAAAACGTTTGATCAATAAAATAATATTGTTAAAATGTTAGCAATGTAATACCACTTGGCACTAAGTACTTACCTTTTCCTTATCAGAAGAGGTTA